ATCTAAAAGCACTTCAGTCATTCCCCAGCAATAAATAAGATTCTCAATAAAATCAACGTCAAAGTTAGCTACAGTTCCATTCTAAACAAACACTTCAGTAACCTACAAAACAGTAACATTCCCGCAACTAAGGAATGCAACTGCCGAAAAAACAAACCCTGCCCATTAAACGGCAAATGTATCACCAAATCGTTAGTCTAAAGGTGAAACAAACATCGCGAGATCAAGTTTTATGGGGGCTCTATGGAAAACTATTCAAAATCGCTCTTCTACCATCACCAAATGACCTTAGGCAATAACGAATATTGTAACAGCACTTCCGTCGCTAAATTTTTCTGGAAAGTGAAAAGTGAGAAGAAAAAACAGTCATCACCTGGGAATGCGTAACGAAAGCTAACCCCTTCAGCGAGATATGTGACAGATGTAACTTATGTCTTTCTGAAAAATTAACGATCCTAAAGAATATGAACAATCCAAATTGCTTAAACAAGAGAAGCTAGTTAATGAGCACTCAAATTTCTACTGAACTACGTTAACCCAGATGAATATATCTAGCTGGGTCTGGGGACCTCAAATTCTTGTAATGATATTATTTATTGGTATCATAATTATTTTTATTAATATTTTTACTATATTTAATATATAACTATTGCTACATTTTGTAGGCACGGTAGAGTAATGGATATCGGTTTGGATTGAGGAATCGGAGAGCCGAGTTCGAATTCCAGTCGAATCCATTACATTCACTTGGGAAAGGTATGAGTCCTCTTCTTTTCCCTCCAGCAATGGGTAAATAGCAGGACAGACTGGGTTCTATAGTCTTGGATGGCAACTGGTCTAGGAGAAGGAAAACTCTGAATTCAAAACCTGCGGAGTGTCGTTTGGGGACCTTGTGGCACGTAGTGCACCAGGTCTCTGTATTCGGCCCTTCAAAAAGTGTGGATGGTCCTGCACGAAACCTTCACCACTATAATCGAATATCATGTGCTGTTGTCGGGCTGTCGGTTTCCTGGGAACTGATCTGCTTGACTCTCATACGTCGGAATCGACGGAAGAGTCGAGCGAGCGATTGTTACCTTTATTAAACTCTAATGCATTTGACATATATGTTAACCTATCATTTTCATTAATACTATTATTTCTATTTCTATTATATGACTATTATTATTGTCTTTATCTTACTTTTATTTTAACCTTACTATCAGCAACCTGTTTTTATTATTATCATTATTTATTTATTTATTATATTATTTATATGTTTTCATTTTTAATTTACTTTATTTTTATTTATTTTATAGTTATGTATTATTTTTATTAGTATCTTAATTTTATCACTGAATATTTTATTAATATTATTAATTGCATTAATAGTATTAATTTCATTAATAGTATTAATTTCATTAATATTATTAATTTCATTAATAGTATTAATTACATTAATATTATTAATTTCATTAATAGTATTAATTTCATTAATATTATTAATTTCATTAATATTATTAATTTCATTATAGTATTAATTTCATTAATAGTATTAATTTCATTAATATTATTAATTTCATTAATAGTATTAATTTCATTAATAGTAGTAATTTCATACAAGAAATTCTCTTACTTCACTTGATCGCCAAAAGATTTTTTTTAAATGACAGCGTAAGTTTTTAATTAAAATTCATAATTATTATTTGTAATCTTATTTTCAATCTTAAATATTAACCTGGACCTAAATTCAAATCCAAAATGAAACTAGAAATCATTTAAACACGTAACAACAATGATCCAGCCTGACAATAAAATATCTTGCGATAACCAAAGTAATAAATAAACGGTGTAAACCCCAAGTTGCACCTGAAGTTTTCAAATGGCATGAAACTCCGAGTTGTGCAATCAACGTAAGATATTAAGTATGTATATATATCTATATATATATATATATATATATATATATATATATATATATATATATATATATATAAAAAAAATTTGGAAAAAAAACAAACAAAAAAATCCTTAAATGCAATTATGTTTAAAATGAATGAACTGTCGACGTCTGACGTTTCGGTTTAATAAACCTTTTTCAAGACAATATTCATTAAAATACAATTCAGTTCAATTTGTCAAAGACGATGGACATAAACAACAAGTCTTATCCAAAACAGATAACTGAATTGACGACAACGTGACCATGCTAAACGAAAAGCTGATCATTTTAAAATTTTTTAGTTATCTGTTTTGGATAAGACTTGTTGTTTATGTCCATCGTCTTTGTCAAATTGAACTGAATTGTATTTTAATGAATATTGTCTTGAAAAAGGTTTATTAAACCGAAACGTCAGACGTCGACATTACATTCATTTTAAACAACATAATTGCATTTAAGGATTTTTGTTTGTTTTTTCCAAATTTTTCTTCATTCTGTCGGATCTATATCCATTTACATTTGCTTACACACACACACACACACACATATATATATATATATATATATATATATATATATATATATATATATATAAAAGTAAACTTATATATATATATATAATAAACAAGCAATTTCTGGTTTACGTTCGTCGGATCTTATTTATTGGCCCTCCTATTCTCAAAAACCTCATCTCATTTTCCTTGACACACAGTTGTGTCTTTCATTCTGGCCTGAAGAAGCCGAAACCTACCGATGCCCAGCGGAACGCATATGTAGTCACACGCACGTGTAGTTACCTATATCTATTTATATATATATGTGTTCGCGTGTGGGTGTGTAATATTTGCGATTCTCTGTGTATATAATTAGTTCAGTGGAATTTACTGAATCAGTTTCTGGGGGTTGTCTATTTGACTGTAGTTGTACGGTGGCTTCCTTGGGCGTCAACCTAATGTCAGTAATTGCCGTGTTACGTTAAATGTAAGCAGATTATTATATATGCGATTCATTGAATTACTTTTAATTGCTTGCTTCTGTCCTTATTTTAAGCTTCAACAATTATGTAGCTTCAAACTTATAAAAACAAACGCGTTCTTACTCCAGAAGCTATACGCTACATATCAAAATTGGGGACTACCCTCTGGATTTAGCAGTAAATTTTATACATTTTGTCATTAATTCACTCCTGCTATGCTATTCAAGCTATTAGTGTATCATATATGAAGAAAGTGAGTAACTACCAACACTAGGGTTCGAGCGTGACACTCTGGATTTATGAATATATGTTTTTTTTCCGCCAGATGTATAAATAGCGGTGTCAGTCTACTGACTGCGGTGATTACTGAGTGACTATTGAGAGGAAATATCCAGTTGAATTAGTGTGAATTATTGTGCGTCGATGATTTGGATTTTGACTTCGGATTTACCGGACGTTAAGCCGAGCCGTGCTACTAACAATGTATTCACTGAAATTGATATCTTCTTTTGCTATTACTTTTTTGTTCTTGCTAAGTATTCACTTGCAATTGTAATTAAATACAGTTTTATCTTAACATTGAAGTCTTTAGTTATTGTTGAAGCTTGGATATGCATGGAATAATAATAATACAACACAAAATGTACGTAAACAAAATGTATTGAAACAAGGAAAAGGTACACAATATTTACAGTTAGTTTTGGTATATTCTTGGGAAGACTGTTCCTGTAGCATGGGTTGACTTAATCGCAGTCGGGCAGAGTCTCTGGGTTGGATCTCTTGTTACTTCCCCCGTCTTCCCGGTACCAACCCATATTTATATGGTCGGTACTCCACTATGTAAATTAGGTGGATCGTACCACAACAGTTATACTTAATCATTAATGCCCAGCATACATCACAAAATAGTGTATAGCATCCAATATTTTTGGCAAGAGGTTTACTTAAAAAAATGGTAATTTGACCAACCATAAGGTTGTCATCAGCTAGCAATGTCGATTGGGTAAAAAGAGCTAAAGTGTTAGGAAGACTTTATGCGTTAACAGTTTGTTTCGTTACCTTTATTATTATTATTATCATTATTATTATCATTATGATTATCAACAAACAAAACGATGATGTGACTCTTCCAATATTTTTCAACATTTAAGAGAAGAGCGCGATTTAAAAAAAAAACAGAATGTGACGATGATGGTAAACTTATAAATATGTAAGATAGATTCAGACGAGAAAAAATTGTCTGACACAGTGAAGAGAATTTCCTAGTGTTCGGGCTAACAATTGATGTAATATGATCTCTCGACTTCATGTCAGCAGCAAACGTTAGTCCAAGAGGGTACAATACTTTTCTTGCATCTTCTCATGCATCCATATATGGTGTGCGGCATAAACGCATGTTAAAGGTTGACAAAAATACGAATATAACTACCATTAAAAATATTTCACTATTATAAACAATAGTGAAATATTTCTTAATTGTAGTTACATAAACATTATAGCTCTTTGTTTTAAAAAAGAGCTATAGTGTTTTATTCATTTGGTTTAAAAAATGACATCCTCCAAATAGTGGCCTCTATTCACCACATACGTAAACGATTTTAAAAGTTTTCGATCACTTGGCTGTTCAAGCGCTTCAAGGTCTTCTAGGTAGCCTTTTTTTTAAAGGCTGAACCTGTGGACCTGAATTTTTAAGCAGTATCGATTTTCTATGGGGGTACAACATCCTTCCGATGTAACAGGAAATCAGCACGAAAAGATCTCTGGGTTGCAATTACAGATTCACCAGTTAAAAAAAAAAAAAACAAAAAAAAACATTTCATCAGGAAATGCAAGGTGTGCGACGGTACAAGCCATGATGGTAATTGATGGTATGTTAAAAAAAAAATATCTGGATAAAGAGACCTTTGCCATTTGCCCAAGTTCATTCACATGACACAGTTGATAGATTCATCTGTATATATATATATATATATATGCATTTGCAGTATAAACTACTGGAGGGTTCTATGGGTGTTGAACAAACACATACGTGTCTGAGCAAGCGTCTGTAATAGGGACTGACTAGCCGCACTAGAATATATGTGTCCTCGAATACGAGTGACCCTATATATATATATATAGAGATAGATAGATAGATAGATAGATAGATAGATAGATAGATAGATAATCGGACACTGGGGTTAACACCAAGCGGTGATAGTGGGTTTCATGCTTCACCGCAATCTTCCAGCTTGAATGTTAAAACCTGAAACTGTCACCGTTAGGTGTTAACTTTAGTGTTCACTTTCTTACTCATTAATATAGCAAGCCTTAAACCCTTAAAGCTATATATGTGCCTATATATATATATATATATATATATATATATATATATATATATATATATATGAAGAAAAATTTGGAAAAAACAAACAAAAATCCTTAAATGCAATTATGTTGTTTAAAATGAATGAAATGTCGACGTCTGACGTTTCGGTTTAATAAACCTTCTTCGGGACAATATTCATTAAAATACAATTCAGTTCAATTTGACAAAGACGATGGACATAAAAAAAAAGTCTTATCCAAAACAGATAACTGAAAATTTTAAAATGATCAGCTTTCCGTTTAGCATGGTCACGTTGTCGTCACGTGGGCGACGCTTTCAAAACGTATTCCTAAAAATTTTTTTGATTATTTTGAATGAAAAGAAAATGAAAAAGAATTCTATTAGGATCTAAAATTTTTATGTGTATGCTTGTCGAGCATTAATCTCGCTAAAAAAGAGGAAATATTAAAGAAACCAGGTCTAGTATTCACCGTGCGTGAGATGGATATTATACCTGCTTCATATATATATATATATAATAAAAACGAAGACTTTAAGAGATCATGGGGATCTTTTATTTCGGTAGAACCAATATCGGTTCCAGCTCATCAGACCGAATATTTTAAAACAAATAAATGGATAAAATTTTCCAAGCAGGAAAACAATAATTTAAGTATAAATTAGTTTTTAAATGTAGGTTTCAAATAGTGGGAAGGGAAAGTGGAAAAAAATGAATATACAAAGAGATGAGGTGATGGGGTGTAGAGAAGTAAAAGGATATGTAAACAAGGCTGGGAAGGGAATGAAAGAGAAAGCAAGAGATATAAATTTGTTGAAAGAGACATATTCAAGTGGTGATGAAGGGAGCAGACATGTTGACATAATAATCACAGTGAATTCGCATTTTTATCAACGGCGAAAGTGACGAGGAGACAGAAAAAAAAGAATGAAAGGAAGGGAAAAGAAGACAAAAAGAGGTTGGCAGTGTTTTTATCTTCCTCACTAGCAATTTTCAGTATACAAATGAATTGACTTTCCGTGGCAATATAGTCAATATATACACACAAAAAATAACCCACACCTGTGAACAAACACTAATACATATATACATATCTACACATACATACTCATATACACATATGTACACACACACACACACACACACACACACACACACACACACACACACATATATATATATATATATATATATATAAAATGTTGACCCAAATTCTATATTCCCTCAAATATACACTACAATTACATAGGTATATACACACATAGCCCTCCCCCGCCATATATATATATATATATATATATATATATATATATATATATATATATATATATATATGTATATATATATACACACACCTATACACATACACATATAGATACAATCACAAACCTAAATTTATATATACGCATATACACATACACACCTACACACATGGATGCATATACGTACACATACAAGTACATACACATACACAAACATACACACCTACACACATGGATGCATATACGTACACATACAAGTACATACATATACACATACACAAACATACATATATATGTACATATATATATATATTTATATATATGAAGAAATATAGTCTTAAGGTGTGCTATATTTATGGGATAAAGTGCTCGATATCAAAAGATAGAGCGTGTGTAAATATAAAAAGTGAACATAAAGTCAACATTTTCAGAGGCGACAGTCTGTTTCATGTGGCCTGACGATTGCATATAGCATGAAACAGACTGTCGCCTCTAAGTATTGACTTATATTCACTTTTATATTTACACACTACATTTATATATCTATATATATATATATATATATATATATATATATATATATATATATATACACATACATATACATATATATACACTATCAGAACATATACACATATACAGGTATATGCTTATACACATTACATACACATATCGAACAAACATATATATATATATATATATATATATATATATATTTAAAACATACATACATACATACATACACACGTATATAAACAAACATATATATACACACACACAAATACCCATATAGTTACACAAATTAATACACGCATGAAACACACAAGAATATAGTAACCACATACATTAGTACCCGTTAGTCTTAATTAAATGCCCGTGTTCTCAAGGGCAAGCATCCCGAAGATAGATATTGTTCGAGAACTTGAATCTACGTTTGTCTCTACATTTGAAGTTCAGTTCATTGCGATGGTTTAGCAATTCTTCCGAGTTATTTAATTATAAAGATTTTCTCTTTTCACATCTGTCTCTGAAACTGTTAGGAGTTCAAGCGCTAGATGTGATCCTTCATTCCAATTGCTGGGTGAATCTATTATCAAACAAGATCCCAATAATGTTTAGATAGTTTTGTTTGATGGTTTAAGCATTTTTTTGTTGTTGAAAGTATGGCGGATTCCACTATCCTGCAGAGATTTCAATATAAACCTTTTTCAGGTTTATATTTTCCTTGGGGAATATAGTGGCTTCATATACCACATTTTTTGACATGCACATTCCTACTACAGGGCAATCCGTTTTTACTCTACGATTGCAGGTAGGGTTTTATTTCCTTGTAATTGACTACTATGAATTTTTTATTAGAGTGTTCGTGTGTAAATGTATAATTTTTTCCATATTATTAACACACGAGTAATTATTTTTAACGTTTTCCTACTAAAGATTTTCTTCAGTGGACTACTATTACTAAAATGTTTATCTATTAAATTTAGGAAAAATTTGCCAATATTAATATTGGATAATTTGCAGAGTGGTAGCTTGAAGGATATGATATTCCTTTTTCTATTCTTAGACTTATAGGATGTATTGTATTTGAAATTTTCTTGATGAGTTACTCTTTGTGAAAACATAATTATCTTGAGGGCTTGATTATAGTTAAACATATTTTAATGAAATATTTTGTAGCTTGAAGATAATTTGTTGATTCTAATCTTGGCAGTGTTGGGAATTTGGTTAATAATTGACTTCGGGTGGTTCGAGTGGACGTTGATGTAGATGGGAGTTTGACTTTCTTTCGGGAAAAGTTTGAACATATCATTTGAAAGATTAATTGTAACATCGAGGAAGATATATATTACAATGAATCATTCATACAAAACGTAGAGTAGTAAAGTTAATGATATAAAATGGCGAAATCCCTTCGCTAACAAAATTTTAAAGGTGCATTAAATTACAAATCACGCTGTGAATGTTATGATCCTTGTTTTTAAATATTAAAGTTGTATAAGGCCTTTCTTTAATACGCAAGTACTTTCAACTATATATTCAGTCATTATAAGGCACAGAAATTATTTTGTTATTGGTAAAATTCAGGTAGCATCCGAGACGAAAAAGTATAATGCGAATCGAAATCGCTTTATTTCAATATTTAATCGATAAAAATTATTTCGACCATTTCAGTTGTCTCCTGATGACCCAGATTCAATGGGTACAACTTCTGCCCTAGATCATATTTCCCCATCAGTAAACAAAATGCTCTGATTTAATTTCGCTATTCAAATCTACTCCAATTTCAATTAAAAAAATATACGAGTGTGTATATGTGTGTTTCCCAGACTCTCTCTCTGTCACGCGCGCGCGCACACACACACACACACACACACATATATATATATATATATAGAGAGAGAGAGAGAGAGAGGATGTATTATAAATAATTTTATAAACTTTGGGTACGAATTATACACACCAAAACTAGGACAAGAGTCTATAAAAACATATGCCCTCAAAACCCTTCGTTTTTGAGGGTGGGTTCCTGCTAATTTCCCTCTGAAAGTTCTCCACTGCCTTAACCAGGTATTGAACTCATCTTCTTTGGGTCTGTCACTGGATCTAACCAAAGCCTTTATCCACTGTGCCATGTGTCCTTGAGGACACATGGCACAGTGGATAAAGAGGGCAAATTAGCAGGAGATAACTGATAACTGACATCCATCAAACATGGCACGTGGAACTAGAACAGTCTACCCCAGTGAGCGAAATAAAGGGTTCAGTTCGAAATTCCAACCACCTGAAGAAGGCCGGGGCGTACAACGGCCGAAACGTTGTGACAAATATGGCGACAAAGATGAGGACAATAGTCCGACTAATGTAAATACTGTATTTTTGACACACACACACACACATATATATATATATATATATATATATATATATATATATATATATATGTGTGTGTGTGTGTGTGTGTGTGTGTACATAAACTGATGAAAATATTTTTTTGCATCTTTTAATAGTTTTATTTTGTTAACATGTCAGAGCACAATAAATTATACTGAAAACTTAAGCTAGCCCTACAACCGTCGTCAGTGTTTGGTTGTTTTTAATCATTTCACCCCAAGCAAGGCAATAAAGCCACTAAGACGTAAGTGGTTACTGAGTGTTACACAATATGGGAAGAAACTGTCAACTTATTACTGACGGTTACATTCTCGCCATTTCAACTGTAAAATGATGAGAACCCTTGCAACCAGTCTGATACGGCGCTTAAATTCATAAAGTTTACCTACTATAGAGAAAAGTTCATCAGATTAATTATCATGAACGTATTATATAGAAAATGTGCAGGAAAGCTCCGTTAACGTGATGAAAATGACTGAAACCGAGCTGCCAGGTCATGACTAATAACATTGCAGATTCTTCTTTGGATTTTATCAAAAATCTCTAAATTTATAGCAAGAACAGTTAACCAGATGTGGCAGTGATGTTCAAAGTAAAGACGAATGGCAGACGTTGGAAGACAGATTGTGGCGGGAAATATTGTCTAACACAGTTGACAGTTGACAGTTTCTTCTCATATTGTGTAACACTCAGTAACCACTTACTTCTTAGTGGCTTTATTGCCTTGCTTGGGGTGAAATGATTAAAAACAACCAAACACTGACGACGGTTGTAGGGCTAGCTTAAGTTTTCAGTATAATTTATTGTGCTCTGACATTAACTAATTTTCCTAGCAGTAGACATAACAATTGATTCAATATGGTATTTCCACTTCATGTCAGCAGAAATGTTTGGTCGAAGATGGTAAAAATTTCTGAAGGTTAGCATCAGCTATACTGATGGAATTTTTTTTCTCTCTCAGACGATTTAAAGGAAAGCAGTTCGATTTGAGGTGTGAAAATCACCAAGCACTTTTCGTTTCGGATTTTTGATAGTTAATTGTAAGTTTAAAACCGGGCTAAAATTCAAATCTTAGTTTCGAGGAATTATATCAAGCCTGCATACAAGCTGATGATAAATCTACCATAAAGTCAAGCGAATGAACGGTGTAATAATAAAACATGACAGGCTACGGTATTTCTGGAGGAATTTTAGATCTGATTCAATCTTTCTTATCAAATCGCGAAATGAAAGTTGTCATGAACTGTCACTATTGTAGATATATATGTTTTGTACATTAATGCCAGTGTCCCCCAGGGCTTTATCCTTGGATCTACGTTGCTGCCGATTTTCATCAAGCACCTCACCAATGTCATCAGTATATATGCTGATGACACAGTTATTTACGTCTGTCTTAATGGTAAGATCGGTTCGATAAGGTCAAAATTGTACCTGATGTCAAATGATCTCCAGCCTGTTGTTCACCTGTGTAATAAACAGCTTCTTAATTTTAACGCCTCCAGAACGAAACAATTTCTCCATTAAACATGATAGAGTATCTTTCTTGGCGCGTAATTTACAATCGCCTGATGAGATGCGTTGTAAGCGCATCGAAACACGTCTGAAATTGTGTAGCGATTTTGACATGTTTTCTATGTAATATCCTAAAATAATATATATATATATATATATATATATATATATATATATATATATGTGTGTGTGTGTGTGTGTGTGTGTGTGTGTGTGTGTAATTATTTATTCGAAAATTATAACATAAATATGTTATAAAATGATGTAGAAATAGCCATTTTAAGTTGTTTCTGGTTTTTAAAGTGATGATTTGAATGTAGAATAAAAAGTTAAGGTTTTTAAAACTCTTGATTCAAGACAACACCAATGTAAAGAAAAAAAATGGCTATTTGTATTGATTTTATAAGATATTCATAATTTTCGAATAAATAAATATATTTGCTCTACTCTGTATTGAGCACTTTTTAAGAGTATTTGTTATAAATCTATATTTAGCTCTATCTCTGATATTGAGCACTTTTTAAGAAATATTTATTAGTTATATGGAATCTACATCAATCCTATATATATATATATATATATATATATATATATGCGAGTATCCCTGCGATTTCCACATGTGCTTCACTTGCTACCAGAGGGCTTGTAACATACATGGACACCTCTCCTAAGTGTTCGTTCACGAAGCCAAGCTATTCGAAGTATTTTTTTAATGCTAAAGGAAAAGAAGAGAGACTTTAGTATTTTGATTGACTATTCTTTCAGGATTCGATATCTTTTCGGTCGATAAGGTTGTAATATGGAAAGGAATAGCAGAAGAAGTCTTGGAACTGCTTCGAAAGATAAAAAAAAATGGAATGAAAATGCCCAGGTCTATGAGAAAAAATTGATGCAGGGCAATACTAAAAAGAATTATTTGTTTTCAAATAGGGAGAAAGATTTGCAGAAACATGATCGAAGAGAAAAAGGGTAGAAAAATGGAGAAAAGATTTAAATTGTTAAAAGCCTTCCCACTCCACAAAAAAGCGATGGATAAGAAATGTAAAAAGAGAGAGGATATGTTAAAAGAAGGAAAAAGAAGGATCAAGGCGAGAAGAGAAAAATGACTGAAGATTGAAGCAGAGGAAAGAGAGAAAGAATAAGGATTATTAACAAAAGAAAGAGAAAGAAAGAAACACAAAAGGATTTATGTATAAAAAGATAGAAAGAAATACAGACTGACAGACACACAGACGGAGAGACAGAAAGAAAGGTAATTTAAGAAAGAAAGAAAGGAAGGAATTAAGGATTGAATAAATGAACGGAAATTAATTAAGAGTAAAAGAAAGGAAGAAATAAATAAATAAAAGCAATTAAAGAAAGAAAGAAAGAAAGAAAGAAAGAAAGGAAGAAAAGAAGAAAGAAAATTAAGGCCGACTAAAGAATGAAAGAAAGAAAAAAAGAAAGAAAGAAGTTAAGGGCGATCAGAATAAAGGAAGAAAAATGAATGAAATCAATCATGACTATAACAGTGACAGAAAGAAAGAAACAAAGACGTGTAAAAGAAAGTACTGCCATAAAGAAATGATTAAACGAAAGAAAGAAAGAAAGAAAGAAAGAAAGAAAGAAAGAATGAAAAAAGAAACAAATAAAGAAAAGGATTTAAATATTAAAGGATAGAAAGAAAGACAAACTGACAGACAGACACACAGATGGAGACACAGAAAGAAAGGTAATTAAAAAAAGAAAGCAAGAAATTAAGGATTGAATGAATGAACGAAAATGAATTAAGAGTAAAAGAAAGAAAGAAAGAAAGAAAGAAAGAAAATGAATTAAGGACTAAAAGAAAGAAAGAAAGAAAGAAAGAAAGAAAGAAAGAAAGAAAGAAAGAAGTTTAGGACGATCAGAATAAAGTTGGAAAAATGAATGAAATCAATCATGACTATAATGACAGAAAGAAAGAAACATAGACGCGTAAAAGAAAGTACTGCCATAAAGAAAGGATTGAACGAAAGCAAGCAAGAAAGAAAGAAAGAAAAATAACGGAACAATGAAGGAAAAAAATAACGAAAAAAAAAAAAAAAGTGAAGGGAAAAGCGATAATAAGAACGTCCTGAACAATGAAAGTAAAGAATAAACAAGAGGGACATCTCGGCCAAATGAAAGTGAAACAATTATAAAAGTCGAACGATGACAAATACATAGATAAAGAAAAGCAACAAGAGAAAACCTAGAGTGACAAGGAAAAGAACGGGTATGAAAATGTGTAATTCCACATCCGGGGGACTTAGTTCGGAGTATGACAAAATTGCATTTCGCCCGACCTCTTTACTGTTCGTTGCGAGGGTCGATCGAAGAAAGACAAGCCTGACTTGCTGTCCTGCATTTGGGCACGAATTCAATTATACTGACATATTCATGCGCGCGGCAAAGTAGTCCCAACCACACATGGAGGTACTATCAGGCATACAAATCAATTTGGATCGATACTAAGAAAACATCATTCCAAAGCGATAGTGAGGGAGGGAGGCAATGGGCGTGTAATATTTTGCTACAGAAATTTTATGAAACAAACTGTACACGGAAAAAGTATCTTACGTGTACACATATACAAACAGTCGTGGATAAGAATAAAACACAGACACGAACGTACACAAAGCGCAAAACAACTAAAAAGGGAGGCAGCAAAGTTTAAAATAATATATATATATATATATATATATATATATATATATATATATAAAAGAACAGTAAAATATATAATCTGGTGTTCTTATAGATATTTTTATTTTTAAAAAATAGTGCTCAATGTAAATTTACAGAGCATTAATATTATAAATTAATTGATTTAAAATATGTTTTTTTTTCGCTACACGGTTCTAACCATGTTTCAAAAATGGAAGCTGAAAGCTCCGAATTTAATTTTGAGATTAAATTAAAGACATTAGTTCCATTTCATCCTCAAGCGAATTTTGGAGTAACTTTTAAAATTACTGGGTTTTAAAAATTATATTAGTGGGATTTGAAAAATTAAGATATTAGCATTATGTTTCTTAAAAATTTTAAAAATTGAGATATTAGCATTATGTTTCATAATAATTTTTTCTAAGTTTTCCGTACAGCTGTAACTGAATTTTAGCGTGTTTTTATTGAAAATAGTACATAGTTTACTTTCACGAGGAGAATGCTTGAGTATTAATGCGAGGAATTTTTGTCCTAATTTGTTCTTTACCATTTGGTTGTATGGGGGCGTATACCAAATTACTTTTCTACATCTGTTTTTTCTATGCTTTCCATTTTCATTTTTTATATAAGTTAGTTTTGGGTTTTTGTAGCCACTCTCTTTTAGAGCCTTATTATAGGAATTGATATGCTCATCGAAAATCTTGTCATTTGCTGAATTTGTACTAATTCGTTTACTGAAATAATTCTACATACTGTAAGGGATTCTAATACATTTACTTGTTCTTAAAAGAAATATAGCATATTAAAAATTAAAAGTGAAAATATTTTTCAAATCGTAGTTAAATAAAACGTATTCTAACCTAAAAATGAAAATTCAGTAACAGCTGTACGGAAAACTTAGAAAGTAACATCAGACAATATGACGGTTCTGTATAGGATATATGTTCGATTCCTGTCGGAGGACGCATATTTTCTATGAAAATTTCTCAGATATTCAGGCCGGTAAATGTTGTTAATACTGTTTATTATAAACAGAGCATTTACTATAAAAGGAACGTTTAAACATAAAGAGGCCTTTAAAATAATTGTCGGTAAAATATATATATATATATATATATATATATATATATATATATATATATATATGAAACAGCATGTTGACTCCGAGTGTTCACTTTAGTGTTCACTTTTATATTTACATAGGCTCTATCTCTGAAATTCTTATGTATTTTTCTTTCCTTCTTTTTAGAAAAAATCACGATTATCCTATTAAGTATTTCTGTAACTGGAAAGGGCATCAAAAATTGTTTTTATAAATCGAGTAAAAAAGCGATGTTCATATACATATATATATATATATATATATATATATATATATATATATATATATATATATATTTGTGTGTGTGTGTATATATATTGGTATATGTCTCTCTCTATATATATGTGTGTGTCTATGTGTGTTTGTGTTTGAATTACAATTAATCAGATCTGAACAATTTACCTCATACAGATGATCATTTCGTCAATGGGAAAAGTTTTTTTCTTGGACTTACCAATGCAAATACAATTACTGAAATGAATGAATTCCTAAGTTTCTTCACAGGAAATTTGAAAGGCAAAGAAAGGAGAGAAGGAAAAAAAGAAAATGAAAAATTAAAAGGAGAGGGAGTAAGAATTGGCTTATAACAGACTAGTGAGTTCGTCTGCACGCACGTGTGTGCTTTGTGTGTGCATGTATATACGAGGTCTGATCAAAAAGTATCCGTAGTGCTGCTATATATTTAAAAAAAAAGAAACTACAACACATATCAATTCAGCATTTAATCTCCTTCGAAGTAGTCCATTTCTGAAACTACACACTTTATCCAGCGTCATTTCCATTGGTAGGAGCATTCCTGGAACTCTATTTCTTGGAAAAGCAAGCAACTGCCTAATCGCATACTCCTGGATTTCCTCGACGTTTGTAAATCTTGTACCTTTCAAGTGGGACTTGAGTTTTGTAAAACGAATGTTGCAGGAGGCGAAAACATTAGTAGTCGGCCATTGATGATGTATAATTCACACAGATGAATGACAAAGGAAAAATAGAAAAAAAAACTGTGCAGCGCTTTTCATCCTCGAGAAATAATTCATTGGACAAAAGTATTTTTTAAGATGTGGTAACGCTGAAATTTAAATTTTTTTAATTATTTTTTAGACGTGTCTGGACAGGTAGTGTAGCCGATTTCATTATGTTTCGCCATGATTTTGTTTTTATCACTTTTGTTATAACGGTAATAGAAAATATGGTAAGAAAGATGAGATTTTTTAAGAAGCAGCACAAAATTAACCGATTTCAACATTCTCATATCTTAAGCGAGTCCTGTCGTTTTACTTATATTATTTGATGCTTTCGTTTGCATATCTCCGTACAGATATAATTTCGTCTGGTGAAGACCATCTAATGGATGAAAAGTTTTCCACAAAAAATTGTTTATCCCACTTCTTTTTGCCTAACAATGTCGAGGCGTATAGACCTCAATGTAAGCATCGACTTCGAAGAAATACAATATTTTATGTATGCATTGATCGCAGTATATTGCCAGATTTTATAACTTCTTACTATCTGATACTCCGTCTATCTATCTATCTATCTATCTATCTATCTATCTATCTATCTATCTATCAGGAACGGACATTGAGAGATAGATAGATAATCTCTCTCTCTCTCTCTATCTATCTATCTGTTTCTATCTATCTATCTATCTATCTATCTATCTGTTTCTATCTATGTGTCTATCTTTCTATCTATCTCGGTCTGTTCCTATCTATCTATCTATCTATCTATCTATCTATCTATCTATATATATATATATATATATATATATATACATGAATTATTCACACAAAACTAATGCAAAGGTTAATGCTTTAAATGGCGAGACATCCATCATCGCAAACAATTCAAATAGTATACAAAAACCTCCAGATCCGTTATGAATGAATTGATCCTTGTTTATATAAATTTCTGCCGTATTAGTTGTTATTTTTACTACAAGCTTTCGTCTGTTCCTACAGACATCTTCAGGTATAGAATAGATGTTGTTCTTGGTTTTTTCTCTTAGTAATAAGAGGACAACGAAAATATATGTATTGTTGTATCCGAAAATGCTATTGAAAATGAGTTATTGGTTTTGGAACGCGCCAAAGCAACGCTGAGTTTGATTTTAAATTTTAAAGTGTTTGCGTTTATACCAAATATGGTGTTGAACAAATTTTTTTACTGGTAAATTTTTCTGTCAAAGTGGCATGAACTATATTGTTCAATAATTACAGTAATGTCGCACTTATTATCCAAAATAATCATTAGATTTATAAATATATATGGTCTTTTGACAAGACCATAATTTTTATCTAACCACAAGAAGTAAAATATTCTATCCTGTTGCATGAAAATTTTAAAATGTCCAAAATATAGTAGATATATATAACTGAAAGATGGCATTTTAAAACAACAAATGCTGAACAATTTATTGATAAATTCGCAAGATCTTACTTACACGCCCCACACAAACTAATATCCTTGCACCCCCCATATATATATATATATATATATACAGTAGCGGCCATAATATAAGGAACGGAAACAACAAAGACATAAATATGTGTATTACTTAAAAAGTAATGCATGATTAGCAATGAAATTTTTACCGAATAAAAATTATTTTCTTTGTTCCATTTAATCTTTATTTTAACAAAAAAACAAAACAAACTATTATATAAATTTTTGTAACTTTGTATAATATTTATACATTACACCCTAATCATTATTCGGTAAAAATTTCATTTCTTTTTAAGTAATACACATATTTATGTCTTTGTTGTTTCCGTTCCGTATATTATGGCCGCTTCTCTATATATGTAGAGAGATAGATAGATAGATAGATAGATAGATAGATAGATAGATAGAGAGAGAGAGCGGCATTGTAGAGTAATAGATTGAGGCTATGATTGAGGAATCGGAGAACCAAATTCGAATTCCAGTCAAATTCATTGCATTCACTTATAATATTCTATTACCAACCCTTCTCTCTAGCGATGGGTCAAAAGTAGGACACACTGGATTCTATAGCCTTGGTTGGCAACCGGTCTAGGAGAAGAATAACTATGAATTTCAAACTTATGTAGCCCTAGTAGCTATGCTAGCTATAAAAATTCAAATGTAAATAATATATCTGTAAAGAAAATATAGATAAATGATAAAAGGAAAAAAATTCTTTAAAAATACGTTTCATCCCCTGAAGGACCTTATGAAGTGGGTGTTATGTTTTGGCGCGACTATTTATATATGCTGGTCAATGGCTCATTATGGGTAATGAGGTCGGTCGTATTATCCTACCTGTCATTGAGTGGTAATGGTTGTTTCATATTATTCTAAAGGCCTATTGACTAAAATTTTTTACTACGTGACTTAAAAATCTGA